AAAGTACATTGCTTAGTCCGGTAAATATTCTTAAACCATAAATCCAAACCATGGATAACATGATTAAGTTTCTCAGGCACCAATCCCTCAGATTCAGTCCATAAATGTCGAACTTCATCTTCACACAATTCCTCCATCAGCCACGAAGCCTCAATTAGAAAATGCCACCTTCTCGCCTTAATGAAACATCGTATCCAAAAGCAGTGGACAATGGTCAAAGAATGCATGGTTAAGATGTTGAAGAGAGTAGCTCGGAAAAAGGTGTTTCCGTAGATCATTTGCAGCCCCTGTCCAAGATTTCACAAATATTGGTTTCCACTCGTCATCCACATTCCCATGTGTATCATGCACCGGTGTGGCCAATATCAACCAGATTAAATGCATCTAACACGTCTCGAAAAGCCACCATTTGTCTTTAACTCCGCAACACCCCCTTTTCTTTTCAAATCTCCCACAACAATCCAAGGTATATCAGGACTATCATCTAGACGATAGCAGAAGATTCCACGATTCCCGCTCTCCTCCGGAGCTCCATAAAAACAAGTCAATCTCTAAGATTATCTATCAGAATCAGCAGTAAACATTACATCTATATGCGAAGCAGAAAAAGATTATAAAACAACACCACACATTAATTTTCAAGCCAAATGCCTTAACTTCAATGCCATGTAAAAAACCATATAAGACTTTCAGACTCTCTCCATACGGGAATTTTGTAGCTTCGTCTCTATAAAGAAAATTGTAGAGGGATTAATGTCTTACAACATACACCATAGACGTCGAACACTCCTGGGCATTCTCAACCCCAGATGTTCTAGCTCAAGATTTCATTATTCTCGGCTGGCCTGTCACAAGCCTACCTATATATTGGTGGTTTCATCCTGGTTCTCATCTTGAGTACTCGGAGCAACTGGATTACTCTTCATCCTCTTAACACTATCTAACTTCTTCAAAGGGTTATCTTCCTCTACATCAATCATTGTTACATCCATGTCACCATGCTGCTTATGCTCACCCCCTTGGTTGGGAAAACTCGTTCAACCTATGCCTTTGTCTACCTTCTAGAGCTCACACTAGAGGATGAACCAGAATTCAATCCGCCTTCTTTTAATACCAGATTCCCCGAGTTCTCGATATCCTTATGCAACCACAGACTGATTTGAACTCCCTTTCTTAGCACCGTAGCTCTAATCGAAATATCCCATTGATGGATCAAATCCTTCTTTTCCTTAAGAATCTAGTTAGGATAAATTTTTTCTCCATGCTCCAATTTACCATATAAAAAATAAAATAAACGTAACTTTTTGTATTGAAAAGAAGCGTAAACAAAAGCTTCACACGACAATGCGATCAGCTTATTTCTTTTTAACGGCTTGCTAACGTTTAGCCTGACTCTTACCTGTATGCTACCTTAATACCCCAAAGAAACTGTGGTTGCATCATAGTCAACATATGCACCAATAAAGTTTTCGAATTGCTTCGCCACTTGTTCTGATATGTAGCCAATTGATAAATCATTTACAATAACCTAAAAATCAACCCAATTAGGTTCAACTACCATCGGATCATCGTCAGTTTTAAGACGACTCAACAGAAGTATATGTGAACTAATATACCACGGACCATCCAGTTCGATCCGATCCACGTCCTCATCATGGAATAAACGAAACAAGAAATGACATTCTCCCAAATCCGTGATTGCGATCCCTCCAATTGGGCGCCACACATTCACATAGCCTGGAAATTCACTATAGTAGACGTAAGAAAACGACCCACAAGGCAATGATCAAAAGAGATCGTAGAAACTATTGATGGTTGCTGCAACACAAGTATCTCATCCTCCTCTTTACCCATATTCAAATTTTCTATCTCGCTCTCAAGTTCTCCCATTGGATAAACCGCAACGAACCATAATTAATAAGACTAGCAAAGCTAGAAGGCTGAGATGACTCAGATACTGCCACAACGGTAGAGAAATGGCAAAACCAAAAGACAGCAAAAACCCTAGCACAGAGGGTTCAATATTACAGTAGAGTTTTGTTATATAAATATTAATATAAGAAAAGTTTGTTAAAACATATAGTTATCCTAATAAATAAGTATATAATGTGTTAGGTAGTTTTTTTTTCCTCACATAAAAAACCTAGTTTTCTTTCATTGTTGAATTGTTCATCTTTTTTCCTTTTTCATCTTTGTTGATCAACGGCGACACCAATTTAAATGTTGGCTTCCAATCGATGGTATTTTTTATTGTCTTTTCCTTTTCTTATATTGTATCTTTATTGTTTTTTATTTCAATAAGTTTACATGTATGACACGTTTTCATATGCTTTATGACATTTTTTTCCTGTCTTTTGGCATGTTTTTCAGTTGATTGATCATTTTTTATTTATTTTAAGGGTTAATTTGGTATCGTCACGACTGATCAAGATGGAATTTTTCTGATATCTTGTTTATCTTCCCTGCTTTGGACCTCATATTAGATTTGAATACTCGATTTACGTTCGTGGATAGCTTTTCAAGTCGCTCCAGTCTGATTTGCGGTTTGTCAGTGATCTTTCGATAGTTTGATTCCCTTTTATGGTTCGTTTGTCGATGCGGTCAGATCTGTTTGTATCTATCTTTGTTTGAGTTTCTTGGTTAGATTTTTAATTTTTCATTGTATGGTCCTTATGTGATCTTAAGTTGCTAGTTTTGTTTCAATAATTATAAAAAATTTTCCTATTATATTCTTAATTTACGATTGTGATTGTAAATCTTTATTGTAATTTGAGATATTTCCTATTTTGAATAAAATTATATGTTTCTATAAAAAATAAAAAAATATGATCAAAATTTGTTTGTGATTATTAAATTAATTTAAATAAATAAGTATGAACAAATCAAATGGTTGATTGTTATCCTATAGTTAAATTTAAATTTATATAGCTAAATTATTTAGTAAATAAGTACGAACCAAACATCTTTAGTGATTAAGGGATGGTTGTTGTTCTTAGAGATCTTAAGTTCAAGTACAATATTTGTATAGATATTTGAGTACCAACCGTTAAATAATTGAAAGTATTTCGAGCATATACTTTTTTATAATCAATCCAAATTAACGTAAATTCACTATGTTGTTTTCTCATATACCACCGATGATAGATCTAAAATATTTTTTAGCGAGTATATAATAAAATTTTATATATGGTAGGTATAATCAATAAAATATATAATGAATAAAATATTATTTTAGCGAGTATATATATATATATATATAACATAAAAGTTTATATATGGTCAATAAAATATATAATTAATCAAAAAAAAATAGAATTTATGATAAACATGACCTCACCTTAAAATTGATGTAAATTCGCCATTACATTCCAAATAACTTGAAAAGTAAAATAACTCTACTTTAATTCATTTGATAATGTTATTATTATTTTATTAATTTGAGATAAATATAAGGTAGTATTTGTTTAAAGATAACTCTCAATCTTTCGGTTTTGAATGTTCACACCCTCGGTATCTATGGTGCTCTAATCCGAGTCCTTAGAAATAACAACAACTCCTTTCTACGGATGTCACTTGGTTCGTGCAATAATGTTATTATTGTAATATTTAAAAGATTATATTTTTAAAAGCAATAATAATATTTATATTTTTTATTAAACATAATTAAATGTTTAAGAAATTATAAATAATTTAAATGTTATATAAAAATAAAAGTATCTTTTAATAAATTATTAAATAAATATATAATAGATAAAGTACACAAATCCTCCCCCGATTATAGAGTATTGTTTTGTTAAGTTCCTTAACTATTAAAAATTACAAAATGATCACTCGACTATTCTTATGTTCCAAAACTCATCATTTTCTATTAAAAAGTTTTATATTTTTTAAGATCGTTTGATTAAGGAAATCCTATGTTGAGATTAACAGTATGAAATGAGAACATATTCATTAGAAAAAAAACAAAGAATTAATCTCGGCTTTTGATTTTTTTCTCATCCAATGATCCTAACAAGGTATAAAATTAAAAGTTTTATCTTAAGTGTAAGTGGATCTTAACTGATATATGTATATGTATATATATATTATCTATTATTGGGTAAATTATACATTTAATACCTAAACTACCAGTTTTGGTTAATATTAATACCTAAACTTTCTATTTTTTCAAGATTATACCTAACGTTTAGTTTTTGTTTCATTTTAGTATCCCGTCGTTAAAAACTTAACGGTACTGTTACAACTTGGCACTTTTTTATGGGTAAATTACATCATTAATCACTAAACTATCTTCTCACTCCTATTTTTGTCATTAAAGTTTATTTTTTAATTTAATTATTTAACTTTCAGAATACTTCTAATTTAATCACTCTAACTTTCAAATTTATTTATCATTTTAATTTTATTAATAAAATAATGAAAAAAATCAGGTCGCAAAATATTATTAATAGAATAAATTAGTGATTAAAATATGAGAAATTTGAAAGTTGATTAATTAAATTGAAAATTTTTAAACTTTAATGACCAAAATGGGAGTGAGAAGATAGTTAAGTGATGAATTATGTGAATTACCCATAAAAATGTCACATGCAAAAGTTCCGATAAATTTTTAATGGTTGGTATTAAAATGGAACAAAAATTAAACGTTAGATATGATTTTAAAAAAATTAAAAGTTTAGATACTGAAACGAATCAAAACTAATAGTTTATGTACTGATGCTTAGTTTACCCTTTATTATTATTGTTCAGGCCCCTAATATTTCATATTGATTTCTTATGTGGATGGAAATTGAGAGGAAGCTTCCTTTGGAGCTTTTTACACCGTCGTTTCTCCCGTCCATTGCCACACGAAGCCAACAGGGATGGACGTTACAACAACAGATTCTTTACTTAACATTCTATACATCTACTGTCTCTCACATTCCTACACGTGTAACCATTGAACACCCTGTGATCTTCCCCCGCGTAAACTCTTCCTTCTTATATCTCTTTTGGTTTCATACTATACAAGTTATATTCCCTTCCATAATCAGGACTGATCTCTGGGTTTTTATCCTTCTTCCACTTCCTTAACCTCCTCATCTCACATGTAAGTTCCATTCATCATTGCTTGTTGAATTTCCTTATTTTTTATGTATATCTGAATTGATTGTTGTTCATGATCTCATTCTTGATTTGAATTATAATATTGTTGTTGTTGTTTATATAGATCTTGTTGTTGTTTTATTATTCAAATTATGATGTTAAAAGCAGTGCCAAGAGAAGATTATAACAATGATGAAGTATACTTCTTATTACGATCTATTGGGTGTCAATGTTGATGCATCCTTCGCTGAGATCAAGAAGGCTTATTACCGAAAAGTAGGTTTCTCTTTTTAATCTACATCATGTTTACGTTTCTGGGTTCCTTTTTTTTAATAAAAGATTCATTTATAGTTTTGTTAATTTGGATTCTTTTTGGATGTAAAAATTGCCGTTCAGATGTTCGTTGAAATTTCAAACTGGGTAATGAAAATGTTCTGAATTTGTTATTTGTTTGATAACTGGTGTGTTTCAGGCAAGGCAAGTTCACCCTGATAAAAACCCCGGAGATCCAAGGGCTGACGAGAAATTTCATGTAAGCTATCGGGTTTTAACGTTTTGAAACTGCTCTTATCGAAAAACATAGTAGTGAAATCATGTTCTTAATCTTCATTTCCTATAATTTAATGGTAATTATCTTCAGTGTTTCATTATATATGCATATAGGCACTCTCTGAAGCTTACCAGGTTCTAAGTGATCCTTCAAAACGTGAAGAATACGACAAACATGGAAAGGCAGGATTCCAACCGTAAGTTTATATCCTTTAATTGTGATTTTCAAATCGTTAGAGAATCTGGGTTCGAGTAGATGTCAATAGTAAAAGAAAGATTTTGAACAGATACAACATTGTAATCATCCCAGACTATAAAAAAATGGGATCGTTCCTTCAAGCTTACTTCATCATTTTACTGCGACAGAGACTCCATGTTGGATCCTGCAGCCGTGTTCGGAATGGCTTTCGGAAGTGAATACTTCGACGAATATGTCGGGCAACTACAAATGGCTACTTTGGCTTCAGTTGAACTTGAAAGTGAAGATAGTTCACTAGATAAGGAAGGTCGTTTGCAAAAGCTTAAGGAAAAGCTTGCGGTAAAACCCTCTCAATGAGTTTTTTTTTTGACTCGACTCTCAATGAGTTTCATTCTCCTGTAAATGTGCTCCTTTTCAAATTACTCTTGTATTATTTCTCCCCTGCAGGCATTGCAGAAAGAAAGGGAAGAAATGCTTATCATAATACTGAAAAAAAGACTTCAGCCCCACGTTGATGGTAAAACCAACGAGTTTACGACTTGGGCAAATTCCGAAGCACAACGACTTTTGAAAACTGGTAAGCTTCTTACTTACTACCATTACCATTAGTTTATTATAACTACTATCTCATTTTGATTCTTACAAATTAACTATTGCCATGGACTTATATTTTTCCACACTTTCAGCTTTTGGAGAGGAAATGCTACGTACTATTGGATATGTTTACAGGAGGAAAGGTGCGAGAGAACTGGGCAAAGAAAAGTATATGAAGGTACCCTTTTTAGCCGAATGGGTGCGCGATAAAGGCCACCGTGTGAAATCACAAGTGATCGCAGCTTCAGGTACAATGTTCTCAATTTAAAGGTGTTGGATCTTTTTTGATGGCATTCACGGTCTTTTTCCATATTCAAATGAAAACGGGCAAGTACGTGCATGTATATCTCCTTTTTGTAGGTGCCGTTAATTTAATTCAGATACAAGAAGAGCTTAAGAAAGCAAACCAAGGAGAAAATGGAGACGAAAGCTTAATGAGAACCTTCGAAGATAGAAAGGATGCCATGCTTCAATCCCTTTGGAAGGTCAATGTGGTTGATATCGAAACAACTTTATCTAACGTCTGCTTAGCTGTAAGTACTAAACAGTTTTCTTAACTTTATCTCTGTGGTTCATACCAAAAACCAAAGAAAATTTCGGTATCTTTGGCTATTATCTTTTTGTTATCCAGGTACTTGAAGACCCTGATGTACCCAAGAAAGTTCAGGCTCTAAGAGCCAAAGGATTGAAAATGCTTGGATCAATTTTTCAAGTACGATTTTCTCAGGAGTCTTGTAATTCAGTTTGATTTTGAGTTTTGTTTCGAATCGTATGAGTAGGTGTCTGCGACACAGTTTTAGTTTATGTTCTTGGTTCGTACTAAACTCGGAATTCTATTTTCTGTTTTCTCAGGGAGTGAAAGTTTCTTACGGTAGAGCGGACAGCCCCCGAAAGAAATATGACTGTTGATGTCTTTAAGAGGGAATGGAGGTTCTCACGGAGGCCAAGAGCCTATGAAGGAAGAGATAGGTTGGAACGTCGGTCAGAGGCATTAGAAGCTGGAGATTAAAATGAGCAAAGTAGCAGACCTTTTTCCTAGTCCTGAAGGCAATGAAACAGACCTGTTTATACCTTTCTCCATGGGGCTCTCACCCGATATGTGTCGACCATAGGTCTTAGCTATCCTTGTTACGAGGGTTCTCAACACCTGCACGGTAACATGAGGGGGGGGTCGTTTTCGTATTGCGCATCCTCATTTGGATCTGGATGTGATTAGCGAAGGCTTTGTGTCGCGACATACGAAGGTTTGCTGTCATTAGGAGGGTCGATCAGCACAACCCTATGTGGAATAGGTTCCTGATGAGAAGAGGCTAGGCCATCACCATATTGTTAATGATGGTTATCATCAGGTTGACGATCAAGCCCTGAGTTGATTCCCCAAGAAAGTTCAGGTTGGCGATGTGTCTCTGGACCAGCACCTCGTTGTTTCAGCTGTCTTTAGTTTTGAGTCTAACAATTGTTCTCTGATCCGAGGGAGGTTGTAAAGTGGCGCAAGTACTCAGAAAAGGTCTCCTATTCTTGTGCTTTTCTTTGGTGGCGGAAGTAGTAGGGACGGAAGAGTCTGGACTCCGGCGTGTGTCCGGCCTCTAATACCTCTTACCATAGTTTTGGCCTCATTTCTTCCTTGAGATGCTCTTATTCACCGGGCGAACCTCCAGCTTCATCGAAAACATCAGCAGCAGAAAAGCTATAAATGCCGATTTAGATCGAAGGCCTCTAAAACCCTTGTGCAAATCACCATTTCCAAGTTAAACCAGACATTATCATATATCAAAATCTGCTTGATTATAACTTATAAGAGCTTCAACAAGCTTTTCATGTGAAATAACATAATAAACATATAATATGATGTACATACTCAGACTCCATTAAAGACGAAGGCATGATTTTATCAGGGGCAAGTAAAATTCCATTTGATTTGAAAATTTCATTTTTTTTTTTTTTTTGCATTTTTGAGTTATTCAAATTGAATTATTCGAGTAAACTTGATTTTTTATTCAATTTTTGAGTTTTGAATTTTCAAAGTTTGAATAAATGAAAAACCGAAAATTAAAATGATACGGTTTTGGACTCTAGCTTAATAAATTGATTGTTACGCGATTTTGTACCCAATTTTCTTGTATCTTCAATTCCTCCTTCGTTTTAAGTTTGTTTTTATCAAATTTGAATCACATGCTCCTCAATCACTTTAAAATATCTATACAACTTCAATTACTCTTTTAGAAAACAAATTTCACCATTTTCAATTTAGTCTCTCAATTGTACATGATTGTTGAACTATGTTTCGATATAACAATTTAAGGCAAAATGGTTTTTGGACTTGAATTGAATTTACAAAACGTATTTGGACTTGAATTAAATTTACAAAATGTATTTGGACTTAATTGAATTTATTCAAAATTTACAAAAATAATTCAAAGTTCTTTTAATTTAAAATTGAGCACAAAAATGTTTAATGAAAAAGATACTAGTTATTGGAAAACATATGAAAATGTTAAACTCCCCCTTTTTCATTAAGAAATTGAATTTTTCAAACTAAACTTCTTCCCCTTTTTGTTATATCAAAAATAATTCGATCTTTGAAGTTTAAAATAACTTTGGAGAGTAAGTAGTAAATTTTACATTTAAAAATCATTTGAAAAATCAAAGCTCCCCCTCAATAAATGTATTCCAAACAAAATTAAGCTTTTAAGATCTTGACACTTAAACAAAATATTGAATTTCTAAAAAGAATAACAAACATGTTTGTAGCACATGAAATTCAATATATCCAAGTCTAAAATACTTTATGCAATACCAATTGTTGAAATTTGATAGTAATACCAATTACTAAAATTAAGTGCATTTGCATAAAGTTTTTCAAAAATGTTATGCAATTTTAAAAATTTGATATCAATTGCTAGAGAGATATCATTTTCATTTAGACCACATGCATAAACATTCAAATTTAGGCCAAAATTAAAATTTATAAAATCAAAGTATTTTGAAATTTGATATCAATTGTTAGAGATATATCATTAGCATTTAAAACCAATTTTGACCAAAATTCATTATGATGAACTAAAAATTCTCAAAAATAAATGTTCATCATAATCATCTTTTCAACATACATGAGATTAAAACAATGATGCATAATCATTTAAAACCAAAACTCATGCATGCTTAAAATCAAATGAGCAACCAAATAACCAAAATTAAAAGCATTAAGCTTAGAGGTTACCCATTCCTTTTTCATGTGTTGCTAGAACATCTTGAATATCATCATTTTCATCACAATTGCTTACACACACACCTACAAGAGACATTTAAGTAGATTTTGGTATCCAAATTGCTTTGGATCCTTGAACGTTAGTTACAATGCCCCTTGTTCCTTTTGGAACCCATACTTGCCTAATTTTAAAATGTTTTCCTTTCTTCAAATGACAAGTATGTTCCATATGACCATGATAATGGCAATGTGAGCATTTTGCCATTTTTAAACATAATAGATTGTTTTTAGAAATTAATTCTTTTTCTTTTGTTAAGCTTTCAAGCTTAACTTCTAACTCAAAATTTTTCTTTTCTAAATCATTTATTTTGATTTTTGAAAGTTCTAAATCATTTTTCAAAATTTCATTTTGATTTTCAAAATCAACTCTAGCTTTCAAAATCGATTTATTTTCAATTTTGAGTTTTGAAATTAATTTCGTATATTTGGAATTCATGGTCTTAAATCCCAAATACAACCTATTATAAGCATCTTATAACTCATCAAAAGTAAATGAATTAAATTCATTTGAGTTAGAATATACCTCGAATTCTTCTTGAGTGGTCATGAGGCATAGGTTGACTACTTCATCTTCATCATTGGAATCATCTTCATCACTCCAAGATGCAACAAATGCCTTCTTCCCCTTTTTCTTTAGAAGAGGACATTCATACATGACATGCCCCTTTCTTTGACAATCAAAACATACCCGGGGGACTCTTCTTCTTGGTTGATTCATGTTTCACTTCCTTGGAAATCATGAATCTCTTGAGTTCCTTCAAGAGCTTGACCATCTCTTTTTTTTGTTCATCATCGTCTTCACCCACCTCATCACTTGAATCTTGATAGCTTTCGTTGATGCCTACGTCCTCATTCTTCTTCTTCTTCTTCTTGTTTTTCTTCTCTTCCCTTTCTTCATCTTCCTTCACCATCATCTCATGAGTGAGAAGGGAACCAATTAGCTCGTCGAGAGTGAGAGACTTTAGGTTTCTTGCTTCGATAATGGCCGTCGTTTTGATTGCCACTCCTTTGGAAGAGAGTAAATCATCTTCCTCACAAGCTTCTCATTTGGGATTACTTCTCCATATCCATTGAGACCGTTGACAATCATAGAGAATCTATCCGTCATAGCTTTGATGTCTTCATCGGGTTTCATCTTGAAGTTCTCGTAGCTATGGTTGAGAAGACTTTTCTTTGATTCCCTCACTTCGTTGGTTCCTTCATGAGTGACTTGGAGCTTATCCCAAATCTCTTTGGCACTGGAACAAGATGAGACTCTTCCATATTCATTTGGGCCTAAAGCACAACTAGTATCTTTTTCATTAAACATTTTATTAAGGGAGAGTTTTTGCCAAAAACAATTTTTCAAATGTTTTGTTATATCAAAAAGGGAGAGATTGTTTAACTATGTTTCGATATAACAATTTAAGGCAAAATGGTTTTTGGACTTGAATTGAATTTACAAAACGTATTTGGACTTGAATTAAATTTACAAAATGTATTTGGACTTAATTGAATTTATTTAAAATTTACAAAAATAATTCAAAATTCTTTTAATTTAAAATTAAGCATAAAAATATTTTTATGAATAATAATTTACTATTTAAACAGTAAATTACTATTTGAACGTGTAGTTTAGCAAATCATAATTCACGATGGTGCCTTTTTTTGTTTACTTATTGATTCACTTGGTACTTAACGTTTCGTGAGATGTGAAAAAGCGGGGGGTGGGGGGATGCGTACTACGCACTCCGCGTAAGAAACCGACCACTTGTGCTGTGTCCGTTTGTTAGATCTATTGCTACTTGCCTACTTCCATTTTAAAGAAATAATTTTATCAGATTAACCACACAAATTATTAGCTTTTGTATGTAAATAATTATGAAATTAACTATCCCAATTCCAACAATTAAGAGAATCAGAATCACTTGATCCAAAAGTATCATTGTTTTGAAAATCGGATCAGATCGGCAGGTTTAACTAGAAATCTTTACTTAGTCCGGTTCAATCTAAACCGGTTGTACCGTTATTAGTGAATCGACCGAAACCGTTGAATCGTTCAAACCGGACCGGCTGAAACCCAGAAAAAACCGGAAAAAACCTCCAATTTTGTTTTTTTTTTTAAATTAAACCAAACGACGTCGTTTGTTAAACGAGCCAAGTCGAACTCGAGTATTGCTGAGCTCGACTCGAACTTGAAAAATTTAAAAGTAAGCTCAACTCGATTCAAACTCACGAGCTAAAAATTATGAAATTTAACTCGAACTCGAAATATAATATTGAAACTTGAACTCGAAAAGGCTTGAACTCAAAAAAAATTTAGAAGCTCAATTGAAGCCTAAAATTCGTGATTGATTGAAGTGAAAGAATAGTTCACTCAATACTTACAAAAAGTCTCCATGATTTTGAATGTCAAATTATCTATATTATTTATAGAAGTTAGTTGAGATGATCTTCTATGTTTCTTAGCCATGTGAGATTGTTTTTAAAAAAATTAAAATAAACAATATCATTTTGTTATGATTTTTTTAGCCTTAAATTTATTTTTTAATTATAGTTATATAATTATATTTATTATTTAATATGTTTTACCTTAAATATTATGTTGTAGTTAATTTGAGTCATTTTGTTTCACTTGATTTTATGATTTTTAACTTATATATGTTATGATTTGCTTTGAATATGAATTGTGATATAAAAAATTATTTTTTATTAAATATTTTTTGTATTTTTATTTAATTTTTTAAATAATTATGACGTCGTCTGATTCTTTCGATCGATTGAATCCGTGAACCTATAGTATGACCAATTCACTAACCGGTCCAATTCTGAAAACCATGGAAAGTATACCTAAGCTGAGCATAGATTCCGTCAAAAGGTGGTTCAACGGCTGATAAATAAGGACTAGAAGCCGTCTTAAACGACTTTGCTTTTTCCCTCCTTCTCCCATGAAAATACAAACACACACAAGGAAGCACAAACAGCCTTATTTTAAAACACTCTGCTTTCTCTCTGTTGCAAATACGCCGCAGTCTATCGGAGCTCAGTCAGGTGCGGTTCGATTACCTCCGGTTCCGATTTGGAAGAGTTGTTTGATGGTCCGGCTATCTAACGCACCACAAGAATCTAGTTTTATTTATTAAAACGTCAACTTCCATTTTTGACTCCTTTAATATCGATGTTTTAGATTTAGATTTAATTTATAAATTTTGCTGTGGTTATATCTTGACCTGGAACTGTTACTTTAGCATTTATTTCGGATCTCTTCTTCATCTTTATAGTGATTCCGATTTTGTTCGTTTTACTATATTTAGGGTTTTTAATTTTCCCCCCAATTATTAATATTTTGTTTTGTAATTGAATTTACTCTTATATAGTCCCCAGAAGGTAGCTAATTGCTCAATGCTTGGTTTTCCCTGACTTTTCTTTTTAAATATTTTGGTAACAATTTTCTATGTTATCTTTGGCTTTCTCTTGAGTTTTGAGGAGTTTGGTGGGCATATTAAGAGTGTTATTCTGAGCTCTTTCACTTTGTCTCTCTACTTATTAGCTGTTAACTGATTGAAGTTCACTTTACTATCCAAAATGGTAATTATTTTCTTTTTCTTTGAGGAAAAAAGGGAAAGTGTTTTTAGTTAATTTTGGTTGATTTAAGCTTCCTTTTTGGTTGGTGTTTTGGTTAGTTTCAGCTTCGTTTTTTTCTATTCCTTCTGTTTTGTAATATAATTTAACTTTAATTAAGGATTAGATAGATTCAGATGCTATGAATTTTATTAGTGTTTTATTTTATAACCTATCGGTAACCATATTGATGCCCTGTTTTTGTTTTTTGGTGTTAGTAACCAAAGGTGTATGAAGCCAGTGGTTTTCCTTCTACAATATTGCTGATGATATTATTGGTTGAGTTTGTTTTCTGGATAATGTGAATTATGGTTGTTTGAATACTGTTGGAGAATTAATTTATGTTGCGGTGGATCATGGGGGCTGCTTGTTGTGTTGCCGCTAGAGACAAAACTATCGTAAATGGATCAGGTAGTGATGTTTTACATAGGAATATAAGGTATTCCCCGACGTGGAGTTTTCGTTGGGATAACCGAGGGCGTGTGGCTGGCGAAGACACTTCTGTAAGTTGGTTCTCAGATGCAGTAAGTCGGAATGATGGATCAGAGATCAAATATGAATCTGCTTGTGCATCGGAGGATGGGATTTCTTCTGAGAGTTTTCATTCTCGTACATGGCAAAAGTCCCCAACTTCAGAAGGAACTGCTGGACTGGTGAGAACTCCTGCTTCAGGTAAACTACTAGGATGCTGGCCTTAGCGTGAATTTATGGAATTCAGAAATGTTGAAGTTAATTTTGAATATTAAACTTATTCTTCCGTTGGCACTATACCATATGGGAGCATGACTGAATTAGATAGATAATAGCTTGCAGTGAATGAAAAAGTATAAGGAATATAAATAAAGAAAGGTACTCCTGAGTTCTGACAAAAACATCTGAAAAATAACAAGCTCAAACCCTTACATGTCATGGAAGGGAGATTTATTGTATGAATTAACTTAAAATCTGAAATTTTTTCTAAGTTTCCATTCTCAAAATGCAGATCATTTTTACGGTAAATACTAGGTTACGTCATTTGGTAATATCCTGAAAATCATTTTTTAGTGAAGTAGTTGCATGCACAACTGAATTAATCTTGTCATGTTGGTTGGACATTGGCCAATTTTGCAAGGCCGTTCTTCTGGTCTTTGTCATTTTGCCTTGTATGAATTGTGTGAGCAGTGTGTCAATGCTTCATTTTAATTCAATTTTTGGGGTTTAGGGTTTAGGGTTTAATGCTTGTATGGCTTGTTAATGAGGGTCGATTTGGTGCTTTTGTGGATGGAGGACCACCAGTAGTGACTTATTGTGAAATCTTATGTGACAAAAGGGGCACTGGTGGCGTGAGAGACCTCTGTTGGGGTTTCACTAACCCTAGATCAGAGTGGTCTAGACTGTTGATGGCTCCTCAATCTTACAGCGTAGGACTTGTGGCACAGGAGCTGGTAACATTTAGGATTAAGTTACCTTATCATAGGATTAATCTGGACCTTTAGATCGAGGGCCATATCTAACGGTTAGGCATTGGTTCCACTTAAGGGTTAACACAAAAACCCTAAACTGTTGGACCTATGCACGAGTGGACCTCCCTTGTTGGGCTTTGTATTCGGGCTGTACTTTTAATTTTCTTGGCCTACTAAATGTTTCGTAACTGAACTTGGTGGTGGGCTTGTGACATTTGTATATAAACTTGCCTGAGAAAAAATAATGATCATTAATATATATATATATATAAATGCCACGTATTTATATATATTTAAAAAAAAATCAATTTTTGGTGTCATGTGGAGTCTTTTAAAGGATGGATGCAATACAATTTTCCTACATTTCTATGAACAGGATATGTAAGGAGTCTAGAGGACCTCCTTTTACTTTTGGGTAGAGGGCGGAGAGCATTGGACCTGAGATTTTCTGACTTGTCTCCTTGTTTTCCATTCATGGGAAAAAATGTCTTCTGTTTAATGTTGGCCTTGCCATTCTATCATTTTGTTGGTTGAGAAAGGTCCTCTTGGAATCGTTCTAACATTCCTTTACATATATTATTCAGATCAATCTATTTCAAGAAACATCTCTGTTGATGTGAACTTAGAGAAGGTAAAACTCTTTCCCCTCAGGAGGCAGTTTCATGTATCTCTTTCATATCACATTGTTTTGAGAAATCTGGATTCTGTTTCAGGCGAAGGAGTCGGTAGAATCCCCTGCAGCCTTTTACCCATCTCCTAAGTTGTCACTGTCTTTGCCATCGGCTTCCTCCTTTGCAACATCCCCTATGTCTTCAAAAAGTCATGTGCATCCTTCCAGCTCAACAATAACAAAGTGGCCTCTCAGGTCTCCTGGACATCATCTATTGTGTCAAGTTTCTGATAACAGAATTCTGGGATTAAAGTCACCTAATAGGTACTCGATTGGTGAGGAAAGGCTTGTAATGCCTTCATGGAGCAATGAATCAGCTAGGGGCTCTTGCGGCGGTTCTTCTGATGGGTGGTCTATGCTTGCTTTTTCTGAACTAACTGCATCTCGTAGAGAAAGGTGGTCTTTTGATAACGACACATGGGGTTTTCATCGTGAGAGAATAAACAAATCAAGTGGCCGAACCTTAGGGTCACCATCTGTTGACCTGCAAACATGTGGTGTTTGTTCAAAGCTTTTATCAGAAAAATCTTTGTGGAGCACTCAGAAGATTATCATTAGCAATGATCTATCTGTTGTTTCTGTACTAACTTGTGGCCATGTTTACCATGCTGAATGTTTGGAGAATATGACTCCTGAAATTGACAAGTATGACCCTGCTTGTCCAATATGCACTTTGGGGGAGAAGAAGACACATAAATTATCCCAGAAAGCATTTAAAGCTGAAATGGATTTTAAGGCTAAAATCAACAAAAAATCGAGAAGCCGGGTCATTGATAGTGATATGGATGTGGATCCTATTGTGTTTAATCGTATGAAAAGTAGTGGACATGAAGGTAAGGCCTCCAGTTCTAGCATGAAAAGTTCCTTGGGCAAGCCTTTTCTGAAGAAACATTTTTCCTTTGGATCAAAGGGAAGTAGATCCCCTTCAGAGAGTCATTCTAACAGGAAGAAGGGATTTTTCTGGACAAAATCTAGCAAGATCTGAAGTTCTTATCGGCTGTTTGAAGGTATCTCTTTGACTGGTTTACTAATGTTTTTTCAGTACAGGCATCAAAATCATCAGTTCCCCTTTCATTGATTTAATAATGTCACAATTGCAACCAAGTCTGTCTTCTGCTTCTGAGCTTTTGAAGGAGATGTATTGTGCACCTGTTACTTTTGACCCTAACCTGAAACTTGACTCGTTACCTTGAATTCAAATTCGACCAAATCCGATTTGACCACAAAAAATTCAAACCCGTAAATGACTCAATACTGTAAATGGGAGCCGTTGTGTTTTGTTGCATTTATGTTTTGTACAGATTCTGATTTCCTTCTCTGCCTTTGTGGTGGTGCAGGATGTCAATTCTTAAAGAATTCTCGACATCTTTCCGAAGTATTTTTTTCAACAGGGGGTATCTTATGGGATTCGCACTGTAAAGAAGAAAATGGAAATTATAGGTGAAAGAAATAGGCTCAACAGGAAGAAATATTTTAAACAATGAAATGTAATAGTATACTTTATATATGGTTTATAACATCTTTAGTGATGTTCTTCTTGTTTTGTACAGACTGATCTGTTGCTTGTTTCTCTGCTTGGATTGCATCATGCAATTTTGTTATGCATTTATGTTAATTTTGGATTCAATCATTTTGACTTCCTATTATTTAAAAACAAAAAGATATTTACAATATGGCAGGATATGGCTATGTGGTAGTGACAGTTAAAATGCAGTTAAGCAAGTTGGAAAAATATGTACTATTAAAAGAAAGGAAACAATTATGGTTAAGCCATGGACCATGTCCAAAGCTGGCAAATGTCTAAAAATGGAGACCAAAAGCAACAATTTCTCAACTAAAGAAAAGTAAAAAAAAAAATGAAAAAACACCCAAAAATCTTAATCCACGAAACATTGCCCTCACAATTTGTGTATTGCAAATCCAATTCTGCTGCCAATCTCTTTTCCACCATTGATATCCAGAGCATAAACACAGAGAAAACAAGCCCCTGTTTTTTTTTTTAAAGAAAATATAATATAATTTCCTTATTTTCCCCGAAGACCTTTTTGTTTGTTCATTTGCGACTTGAAACATCCTCCCCCACCCCCCAACCCTCATCCAGGAGGGACGGAGATAGGAAAGAAACCAATTTCAACGTCAGATTTTCATTCCATTTTTTTCTATCTTCCTGTTTCCCATTGTCCACAACAAGCCTCTTCCATGGCTATCCTCCTGGTTATAGTGTTCCTTTGCACCTTCATTTGTCACCCCACCGCCATTGTTGCCGGTGCCACGGGTCCTTTCAATCCGACGGACAACATCCTCATCGATTGCGGTGCCAATGAACCGCCCAAGCTCCCCGATGGAAGGTCGTTCAAAACCGATAAGGACGCGTCTCAGTTTCTCGACACTAAGGATGATGCTCAAGTGTCTGCCTCCAATGTCAATCTCCCTTCGCCTTTGTTTTTAAATGCCAAGGTGTTCCCTCAAGAAGCCACCTATACTTTTGAGTTGAAACGGCCCGGTTTCCACTGGGTCCGGCTCTATTTCTACGCGATAAAAGATAGCAAGTACGATCTCCTGCAGTCGACGTTCTCAGTCTCGGCGAACCAATATGCTATCCTTCATAACTTCAAGATTATCAATGGAAGCATACCTGTTCTCAAGGAGTATCTTCTTACCATGAATGAACCTAGATTCATTCTCAAGTTCTCTCCCATGACGAATTCGTTTGCTTTCGTGAATGCCATCGAGGTCGTTTCTGCGCCGGATAGTTTGATCGCGGACGAGGGGATGTCGCTCTTCCCGGTTAACAGCTTCCAAGGCTTGACCAAGCATGGTTACCAAGTTGTTTATAGGTTGAACATGGGGGGCCCTTTGATTACCCCACAAAATGACACCCTAGGAAGGACTTGGATACCTGATACTGCTTACCTTGAGGATAAAGCCTTTGCTTTAAAAGCCTCCACTTCAACAACTGCAATCAATTACCCCGAGAAGCTAACCCCGTGGATTGCACCGCCAACGGTTTATTCGTCCCTCATTGAGATGGCGGTGCCTGAGGCCGGCACGATAAACCCAAACTTCAACGTGACATGGCAGATGGAAGTCGATAAAGCGTTTGATTACTTGCTCAGGTTGCATTTCTGCGACATTATCAGCAAGGCACTCAATACCCTGTATTTCAATGTGTACATCAATGGTAAAATGGCTATCTCCGGGTTGGATTTGTCGAGCATAACGGGTGGTCTGGGTGTTCCATACTACAAAGATATAGTAGTGAATGCTTCCACTTTCACCAGTGGACTAATAGTTCAGATCGGTCCGCTGAACAAGGATACGGGAGAAACTAATGCGATTCTTAATGGTTTGGAGGTGATGAGAATGAGCAACTCCGCCGAGAGTTTGGATGGGGAGTTCGGTGTTGATGAAAGCTCGACCTCAAGCAACAAGGGTACGGTGGCTGTTGTCGGTTTCGCCATGATGTTCGGCGCCTTTGTTGGTCTCGGTGCAATGGTTATTAGATGGAAGAGGAGACCCCAAGATTGGCAAAAGAGGAATAGCTTTTCTTCATGGCTACTACCACTCCATGCTGGAGACAGTAGCTTCTTGAGCAAGTCAGTTGGTTCCCAAAAAAGTACCTACACCTCATCATCACTAGGCTTAGGCCGTTACTTCTCCTTGGCAGAGTTGCAAGAAGCAACCAAGAACTTTGACTCGAGTGCGATCATCGGGGTCGGCGGGTTCGGAAATGTGTATTTAGGCACGATCGATGACGAAACCCGAGTTGCTGTCAAGAGAGGGAACCCACAATCAGAGCAAGGTATCACAGAGTTTCAGACAGAAATCCAGATGTTGTCAAAGCTGAGGCACAGACACTTGGTGTCACTGATCGGTTATTGCGACGAGAACAGCGAAATGATCCTCGTCTACGAGTACATGTCCAATGGACCTTTCAGGGATCACTTGTACGGGAAAAACTTGCCATCTCTATCATGGAAGCAGAGGCTCGAGATCTGCATCGGAGCGGCTCGCGGACTTCACTACCTTCATACCGGTACCGCACAAGGCATCATTCACCGCGACGTTAAGACTACCAACATATTACTAGATGATGCCTTCGTTGCCAAGGTAGCCGATTTCGGGCTGTCAAAAGACACACCTATGGGGCAGAATCATGTTAGCACAGCAGTGAAAGGCAGTTTCGGATATTTAGATCCCGAGTATTTCAGGAGGCAACAATTAACGGAAAAATCCGATGTTTACTCGTTCGGGGTCGTCCTATTCGAGACCTTATGCGCAAGACCCGCCATTAACCCACAGTTACCGAGAGAGCAAGTTAACTTAGCCGAATGGGCAATGCAATGGAAGAGGAAAGGCTTGCTCGAAAAAGTCATCGATCCTCACCTTGTCGGTGCCATCAATGCCGAATCGATGAACAAGTTCGCCGAGGCTGCCGAGAAATGCTTGGCCGAATACGGTGTCGACAGGCCTTCAATGGGGGATGTTTTATGGAACCTGGAACATGCATTGCAGTTGCAAGAATCATCCTCGGAGGGAAAATCAGAGGAGGAAAACAGACAATCGAACACCGCCACAACCCCGCCTCCAGTCGTCGCTCCACCGTCCGAAACAGTCCCTCCACCTGCTCCTCAGCCAGAAACCAATCCATCAGCCGGAGGTGATCAGAACATTGAACACTCGGGGACTGCAATGTTTGCACAGTTTCGAGAGCTGAATGGTCGATAAAAAAATATACTGCGGCTTGATAATTAGGATCATAAATTCTGGCATCTCTTTTTCACATAAAAGAATTTTTATATATTTAAATATAAATATGGGCAGCACTTTCTGCATGTAACGACTCAACTCTCTCTCCTGATCTCTTGTGTGGGGTTTTCAATTTCTAAAATTCAACAATTAATATATATGCTCTGTACTACTGTTTATTTTATTTCTCGCTTATTTATATTATTATATGCATTTTTCATTACAATGATTTCCACCTGCTTTTACTAGGAATTATAGATTTTTGTTTAAGCTAAAATACAATTTTGTTAATGTGTTGGTTTATAATTTTATATTTTTTCAAATAATTTTATATTTTTTCAAATAATTAAACCATAATTTTTAACATGATTAATCGTAATTTTATTATTTTATGGATTGACATGAATTTTTTAAATTCGACAACGTAAATAAGATGATATAAACTTTTATGTTAAGAGGAGTGAACTTCAACTTCTAAAATTTTAATGGACGAAAATAAATTTTTAATAAAAAATATATAGATAAAATTTAAAATATATGATAATTTTAATTTTTTAGGGAGACGATTAGGGGTGACAATCGAGTGGGGAAAAATCGAAAACCATGGCATCCGAACCGACGGGATGGGGAATAACCCAAATCTTCACCCATGGGAATGGAGATGGGGGAAGTTTTGTCCCGAAACTTAAATGGGGATGAGGACGGAGATTGTTATATCCGAACCGCGGGGATAATCGAACCATACTCGTGTGAATAACAGTGGGATCCCCGAAAAATATCCGTAGGGATCCCTAATATTTTACAAAATTTTAAAAATATATTTATAATCATTTACCTATATACCCTTAATATATATTTTAATAAAAAAAAATATATAATAAGATTGTGAGATTACATATTGCCACTGTTACATCTCAAATGAACTAAAATTGAAGTTTAAATCTTTTCTCATTTAATATACATTGATTTGTTGAGATTGAAAATGATTAAGATTGTACATATATATTGGGTGTTAGAAGAATATTGATGTTTGAAACTTTCATATTATAAATAGAGACAAATTTGAGACAATTAATATATCTTATAAATTTTAGGTATTGTATTTATTTCAAAAATGTTTTGTTTATTTTTTGGATGAAGATTAACCTAAACCCGCATAGATCCGTAAGGGATGGATATGGGGACAAAAAAATCCCCGAAACATATAATGAAGATTCTCAAAACCTTACCCACAAGTGTTAGGAACGGATTGGGTAATGCAAAACCGTCCCTGCCCCGACTCGTTTCCACCCGTAGGGACGATCGCCCCACTTGCCCTCGCCTAGGTCCATCCCTGAACATCAATTTAATAACAATAACTAATGGTGTTATCAGTCTGAACCTATGAATAACATTAGAAAAGTAAAGGGAATAAGTTACTCCAAATCATAACAGAATGTTCAGATCTCTAATTTTTGCCATAATACAGAGACTAAGATTCGTAATTAGACCTAAAACTTTTCGCTCCGTACGCAGTATGCCGTACAATCCGTTATGGACTCGCAACGTGTTACTTTATTATTGGCCCACGGTGAAAAGCTGCAGAGCGACAACTATTACCAAATCCCCACACGCCACCTGTGTAGATATATAAGTATGTAGCACAGATTTTGTACCTTGAAGCTTTAAATTTTCATCCTTTTTTATTCCTCTTTATTTCTTTGCTTTAATCAGTAAAATGTAAGAGCGAATCAATTTCAAGTTTTGTATTGATATTTCTTCAAATTTAGGGTTTCATACTCTGGTTATAGTGATCTGATCTGATCTGATGGAGCCTCCATTGCCGGTAACGCCGACAAACTACGGAAGC